TCTGAAGCGAGGACTCCAGCTCATCTTCTCCGCTAATTTTGATCCGTTTACCAGTTTCTATTTTAAATCATGTGCCTATTTAATACAACTAAAATCTAGTAATATTTATAAAATACGGCCCTTTCGGAGTAAGTCTACTGTCTCACAATTTATAGTATTTAAGTTTTCTAATATTGTACCTGTTTACTATTGATTTACAATTATATGGACGTCGGGTCCGCGCTAAAAAGTGTCCGAACTTATAGGGCGTTAAAATCGTATACAGAGCGTCATTCACGCTTTAGTCTTCGTTTATTCGACTGACAGCGAAGCAAGCAAAATTAGACAGTACTGCGATGACATTACAATTTAAATTCAACGTTTTAGCTTTTTCACATTCCTTTACATGTCACTACGTTTAAATAGGTTGACTTGGGACATTTTTTTCGTGATTTTTGTATTAGACCCGTCGTCTATTTATTTGTAAGTCAATGCTGTTTACCTGTTTACAGCCCTTTCTATCACCTTTATCGTATTTATTTATGTGACACTGGTTCGAATCCAGCCCAATCGCAAGAATTTATTAATTATAACACATAGGAATTGTTAACTGTTTAGAAAGCTTTAGCACTGCAACTGTTATGGATAGGTGTGTCGCTTACCGTCAGGCCCACGACTTGATCATCCCGTCACTTTATATCATAAAAAAATTACGATCTATGTAAAATAATTCGCTTTGGCTTATTTATGACGAGACGAACGTGCGCCTGATGGTAAGCGACATGCCTATCCATAACAGTTGCAGTGCCACTCAAAGCTTTAAATCTGCAATGTTTTATGGGCACTGCCACTGCGCCCGTCACCTTGAGACATATGTTGAAAAATCCCATTGTGGTGGTAGAGGGACTAGAAGGACGAAAGGTACGCAATCAAAAAAAGGAGAATGATGAAGTATAACAATAAAATTATAACAAAAGAACCTGAGAGTGTTATTATGTAGGTGAGTAGAGTGGTGTGGTGTAAATGAAAGTGTACTAATAAAAGGTAAAGATAGGAGAAGCTCGAAGCCGGGTACACGAAGTTGCGGGCCTCCGCCCTCCCTCGAGGTGCAGAGCCGGAGCGCTACGGGTTCGGCGCGGATGCGGTGAGTGGACAGGCTGCATCGATACCGGCGGTAGTGCAGCAGTTGATTTTACCACTTTGTACTCGGAGGTGGAGTTCTACTTCGTCTTGAGCGTCCGCTTCAGTCACTCCTGCCGCTCCACACTCGCTTGGTGAAGGTGAGGTACACAGTCCAGGTAGGAGGGGCGTAAACGTGAAGACCAGGTTTAGCGTGAGGCAGTCGAGGAACTGGTCATCAGGCGCGTGCCTGCTTAAGCGCGGTAGGAGTGGGGCCAGGTATAGGGCTTCGAAAAGGTGTGACTTCTTGTATTTACTAGTTCTGGTAAGACCAGATGCCTCCAAGGTCAGTACAAGAATGACGTGCGTTTGGTAGAGCGCGAGAGGGCATCGAAATTCGAATAGCCAATTTTGAATTTGAAATGAAGAGCTAAAGTGAGAGCAGCCAGGAGCGGAAACGCTTCTACTGCTAAGATTGCATATCAAAGGAAAAGTAATTTATAGGCTAATCTATGGAGGAATAGATTGTAGAGGGGTATCATATCTGTCAATCATTGTCAACATATAAAAATATTAAATACGAAATAAAAATGTTTATAAAGTGAAATTGATGAAATAGTACGTAATTAGCAGTGGGAAAACGAATAGCAAAATTCGGGGATACTATCAGTATGATAGAATATGCCAAAGTCGGGAGATCAGACATGAAAAGTGACTAAATTGTCAAAGTGCCAAAAATAGCTTACAGTAGCAAATTTATGTAATTTAAACACCAATATTTCCCTTCTAAATAGATAAGATTAACAAAGAGCTCTACAGCTACTAAACTAGCACTTACAGTGGAATTATCAGCTTACGAATGCTGTTTGCATTCACTTTTTGGAGTACAAAATGTAAATTTATTGGTACGTTTTTGTCAACTGACGTCAAACTTGCGTATCAAGATACGTCGTGGAACAAATCTTGCAGTTATACTTTGGAAATACCAATATCTTGTTTAGTAACCGATAACAAAGATAACTGTAAGAAAAAAGTTGCAAATAACATTTATCTTTCAGTCACATGATTTTGTTTACCTATTCAATTAAGAACCAATTAAAATGTTCAGTGAATATGCAATTAACATTTCGCGTAATAAGGTTATATCTGCAAAATGACGTTTTTTCAGGAGAGAGGCTTAAAGATTCTACAAACGAAATTAGTCGACAACATTTTTAAGCCGTGGCAGCCTAGTTGCCTTGACCTACCGTCTCTCAAGCAGCGGCCGTGGGTTCGAATTCAGGCTCACAACTGTGAGTTTTTCGGAATTTATCTGCTAAAGAAGGATGGCGAAAACTGCCGCAATAACGACGAAGAGCCGTTCGTGGACTTTGCTAGTATAATTTTGCGTTTTAGTTTATGCTTAGTTATCAATATATTTTTAGAAGTCGGGAAAAACAATATAAAACATTTTATTTTAGAATAGATGCAAGAACACAACGCAATTGATTCAGTACGACCATAGATTATGTAAAGTTCTTATATTTATTTACCTACCTAAAGTAATGGATATTTTATATATTAACCAGTAATGACATAAAGTAAATAAATAAAACACGATGTGACAAAAATATTTAGACAATATTTTAAATGAGAGATAATGAAAGTTGCAAGGGAACATTTTGACAAGAAACCGCTTGCCAATGTCAATGTCACATTGATATTGAGAACAGCGCGACTATTTGTGACCGATTTCTGCCATTTGGGTAGATTTACATTTTATTCATTTCACTGTTCACTGCAGAACATGATATGATAGGAATGTGATAAAGTTTGGCAGATTTGGGAATATTCGGGAAGTTCTGTATTATTTTTGGGAACAAACTGAAAACTAGTTGTTTTCGGCTACTACGAACTAACATCTGAAGCGAAATACAGGAAAATGTTATAAACATAACCTGTATCAACCTTATGACCCCAGCTTCTACATGCTGTACTCAATTCTACAAACTGCCTCCGTGGCCGAACGGTTACCATGCCGGGCTGCCACGCAGAGGTCCTAGGTTCGATTCCCGGGCCGGGAGAAATATTTGTATGACCTACATTTATTTCTCTCGTGACTTTGGGTGTAATTTGTGTTTGTCTATGTGTGTGTCCATGACACCCGCGACACAGGGTTTCCCTAGTGCGGGGCTATGTTGAGTGTGTGCGTTATTATACATACATCTAATTAGCTTTTTTGATGCTTTGATAATGAATCACAAATATTGATAGGTCTCCTTAATGCACGTCGTCAAAAACACTGGGTCGCAAAGTACACGGGATGTCGCCATCCTTCTTTAATATGAAATTTACTTTATTATTTTGTTTTAGACTTAAGGGTTGGATTTAAATAAATGGTTTTTTTCTTGATAAAACCGTTAGAAAGCGTGCTAAACCCTCTCCTTGGAAGGAATCCCTGCAAACCAGTGAAGCGTGGTTGTAGATGAGGATAAAGGAAAGCATCAGTTTTCGCACGTTTAGCAGGTACAGAAAGCACAACATTTCGCACAACTTTGTAGTTAACAAATCTGTAGGTACAGACGGCAATACATCAAGCTACACATTGTCTCATCTTGTTCCAATGCACTGGAGGCGATATTCGAACTAATTTTGCATAGCTTGGTGTCTTCTCTCGTGGTTCTTTTTATCGTATCGTTGGCATAAACCAACATGCTCCTTTCGTGCACTCCACTTAATGTGCTGTTGACTGTACATTTTATTGTATTACTCAATTACATAATAATAATAATATATAGAGTGATAAGTAGTTAGTTGGCTATACTCGTATACCTTGAAAGATATTCTTTGAATGGCACTGAGAAATTCATTCTTATAGAAAAAAAAATAGCTCTGTCATGCAAATCACACGTCAATGATGCAATAATAATTATTTATTTACTTTCTCTCAACATACAAGGTTTGTTACGTAATAAAATGCTCATTGACTGGCGATTTTAGTATTGAACTTTATTTGTGAGAGACTGGTGTCTGAATCAGGCATAAACAATGCCTGTTTTACAAGTTACAAGGTCCCCACATTCCGCGGATTGCACTAAATATGGTCAAGTATAACAAAAATAAGTAGGCCAACTCCCGCCTGTTTTGCCCGCACCAATGATTTTTTTTTTATAATATCAGGTGACACGCCTGTCATTTGTTTGTGACCGTAAAGTAAAAATTTTTAATTGTATGAAGTACGGTTTACAACTTCTATTGGGTCGATAATTATTATTTTTATTCGATCTATGTGCATCGCTTAAAGGTTACTAAGTATACGTTGCCTATTCCGATCTTGGTTATTGCACTGTTTTTATTCAAGAAATGCAATGTCTCTATATCATGTCATAGTAACAAGCCTGCTCTATCATATAGATTCTTAATGGTAGAACATTGTAGAGAATGGCATTCGACTTCTTAAGAAAAGACCACGTGTTACCACTCTACGTAACTTTTAAACTCGACAAAAGGTCGTTCATATTGTCAAGATCAAGGTAACTACGTGTTAATTTGACCACTAACTATACTTAAAATTGCATGGAGACCACAACGGTAGAGCAAACGACGGGGTCGATCGAGGATATGCTCACCACGTGTCTTAAACTACAACGGCCGATATTATCATACGAGGTCATTTTTAAAGGGTGGGGATGAAATATCGCTTACACTTAAACCGATTTAAAAGCCAATAAAAAACCCTAAACAGGGTTATTTTATGAAATCGAATTTATTATATATATTATATATATATAAAGGTAAATGTATTTTAAAATAAAATATCATCTACTCGTATATCGATATAATTTGTTATTGTTCACTTCACTAGCAAATAATGACGAGCGTACGCGCAACTTACCCGGCCAGTGGCGCCTGCGGCTCTGTCAGTGTAATTGCCGAAAGGGTCCGCGCCAGTCGCCTGCCACTGCCAGCTACGCGTCTCTCCCGTTACTTACACATTTGTCGTGCTAGTGAGAAATTTGTTAGTGACATTTTTGAATATTTTTTTGTGCTGATATCCGTTATTTTTCAGGTAATTACAATTTTTTTTTAATCTTAAAAATTCTTGAGAGAAATATATAAAAATATTAAAAAAGCTAAATAATTAAATAATAAAAATTACACGCAGTTAAATTGAATTTAAGCATTAAAGTAATTGTAGATTAAACAGATATTATTAAATAAAGTATAATGACAAAATTTGATAAATTCAGTGGTATAATAAGGCCATATCTACAATATGACATTTTTTCAGGATACAGGTTTAAAGATGCTATGAAATAAATTAGTGGGTAACTTGTTTATACTTACATACGACAGGTATACATTTCAAATATACACAATTTGTTTTATATACTTCGTATTATTTTTTATAACTTGCATGTGGTAATTTGACATGCGTCTTAATTATACCAAAGCTACGAATTACCACTGTTCATCAATTAGAGGAAACCACTGATTAATGCCGTTATTCTTTGGTATAAATTAACCGCTACATAAAACTGCAACTAAGTAACATTATTGTGCATTAATATTCATTTAATTAATTCAAATAAATTAGATGATTCTACCGTAATTATTAGAGAATTCTTTTTTAATATGATTAACCGTATTTTACTAACTGCATTACTAGAACTATGCTCTAAAATATCTCCTTTCTTGGGCTCTAATCTCCCTCTCCGTCCAAAACAAGTACTGTCAAATAAATAATACTCGATCAAATTAAAAAACAGTGCCTAGTATGAAGCTTCATTCGCATCATGCGTCGAGTGTATTTTTTTTCGGACGGATGTGGGGCGGACGGCGGAGAGTACAGGGCCTGTACTGCGGTACGTCCCACTGCTGGGCGCGTATTTGTAAAGCTAGTATTAGCGACGCACTTAACAATTAATAAAAGAATTCGGAAATGTACTTTTCTAAATTAATTCTGGTCTGGGTGTTCTGGGAAGTGCTCCAGAGTGAATTCCGTTGTTCTGCTACTCATAGTACAGGGACTCCCTAGTTTGAGACCAGGTGTAATCTGGCATTTTATTATCATATTGTATATCTATTTTGGACTCGCCTCTCCCATGGCCATTTTGAAATAATAATTGATTATTATTTAAAAAAAATAGATAGACAATATTCAGTAGCTGTGATAGAGTGCCACCTTATAATGTGAGCATTACTGCGTTCCGGTTTTGACGAGTAAGGGTGCAGGTCTCAGGGTGACAGGCACAGTGGCAGTGTCCCTCAAGCTTTTGCGATTCGAAAGCTCTGAGTGGCACTGCACTTGTTATAGACAGGCGTGTCGCTCACCAGCAGGCGCACAACTTGCTCGTCCCGTCACTTGGTCTATGAAAAACGTTCCGCAATCTATTTTGCAAAAATTTCCCAATCCTACATCGCGCGAAAAAGTGCTGGCGAGATGCAAACCGCTCGCTAATGTAATTGGCATATTGACATGTTTTATTACGATGTACTAATGGTGCTTTCACTCGATGATTTATAATGTGTTTCAAATTGCCTGTCTATGTTTATGTTTTTTTTCTGATGTCAGGGTTGCTAGACGTTCGAGAAATTTTATTTGTGTACAATATACGAGTCGAAACGAGATTGCCAATTGCATCCTACAACTAGATTCTTGAACCAAACTTGTAAAATTCGTTTAAATTCTTTTGGTAAAAAAAAATCAAAGTGCAACTGATTTCAAAATCAAAATCAGTCATTTTTTGCAATATAATTGACACAATTATATTACTATATTATTATACATTGACTAACAATTATATGGACGTCGGGTCCGCGCTAAAAAGTATCCGAACTTATAGGGCGTTAAAATCGTATATAGAGCGTCATTCACGCTTTAGTCTTCGTTTGTTTCTTCCGACAGAGAAGCAAGCAAAATTAGACAGTACTGCGATGACGTTACAATTTAAATTCAACGTTTTAGCTTTTTCATATACCTTTACATGTCACTACGTTTAAATAGGTTGACTTGGGACATTTTTTTCGTGGTTTTTGTATTAGACCCGTCGTCCATTTATTTGTAAGTCAATGAATATAATAAATAAAAAAGAAATTATGTCTTTGACTTACCAACGGAGGACATAGCTCTCGTTTATATTCTAATATAATAGCTCGTAGTGTATAAGAACACAATGAAAATTAGCAGTAGTATAGCTCTACTACAGCTAGGTGGCAGACGTACTCTTTCGCAAGGGTGAAAGACTACGTAAAGAAGTTGCCACCTTACCTATTTCGACCGCCAAACAGTAATGCTCACATTACTGCGTTCTGGTTTGGTAGGGTAAGGGTGCTGGTGAAATTACAGGCACATGGGACTTGTCAACTCATGTCTCAGGGTGACGAATGCAGTGGCAGTGCCCCGCAGATCATCGCGATTTAATGCTCTGAATGGCACTGCAACTGTTATGGACAGGGGTGCTGCTTGACGGGACGAAGAACTTTAAATCGCAAAGGTCGTATGGGCACAACCACTGCACCTTGAGACGTAAGTAAACAAGTACCATGTGCCTGTAATATCTCCAGCATTCTTAACCTTCAAAACCGAATCGCAGTAATACTCACATTACTGCTTGGCGGCAGAAATAGGTAAGGTGGCAGTACTTCCCTAGACGAACTCTTTCGCGAGGAGTTCTACTGCAGTGTCTTACCACTGCACGATTTGCTCATTCTGGACCAGGTGTGACAATTCGTCGATTGCACTCGTGTAAATCTTGAAATATTTTTTTAACACGACCCGATGCAACATGAACCACAGTTTTACAACCTGTATGATTCAGAGAAAATTATTTCCTTAAGAAGAAGCTCTGTTCTTCCTTCCGTGGTTGTAATTTATGTAGGTAAATGTATGGTTGTGACAGGTTATTGGAGCGACGGGCGCACAGACCATATAAATACTCTTTTATTTCTTCCGTGGACGGGCGCATTGACTGGGCTTCAAACCTTTGCGATTTAAAACTCTGTACTTTGTACTGTTATCCTTACCATAACTAACGCGTTTGCACCTAAAGCTTTTTTTGAAAAATGTCGTTTAAACTTTTTATAAACGTTTAAATTGTTGTTTTAAATCGTGTCGTTCAAAAACTAAATGAGATAAAAAAACCGCATCATATGGGGTTGTAGGTCGTGTTTTGCTAATTCCAGATATGTTAATAACTCAATTTTGCTAAAAACGTTGATTACGTTAGTTATTATCTAGTGTGCGAGTCCCTTGCCAGCAGGCGCAAAAAAACAAAAAATTTAAATAATTCATGGACACATAACTTGAATACCGAAATCGCTTATGAAATAGCTAATGGAAATACTTTCGTCTTAATGCCGACGACGATTAAAACACTTCCCCTCTTACAGAAGGCCGCAGGTCATTCTATATTTAATTTTATATAACCAACCGATTAATTATCTGTGGCGCCGGCGCCGGCGCAGCAGGTTTCTTGTACAGCACCGTCCAAGGCATGCGACTCATTATTTTAACGGTTTGTTTAAAATTCAAAATAAAACTACAATGAATTCTCTGCGTTTTCACGCACTATAGATCCACGTAACACTGGTTAGTAAATAAGAAAATTAGTGCGAAAAATATTGAATACTAATATTATTGTACTGTGAAACTTGAAGCTGAATATTTTGAGAAGTAGAAAAAGAATTGTAGGCCTAAAAAAAGTACGAATGGGTCAACTAATTACTCTAACTTTATTAAATGTCCCACTAAATTCTGGAAAATTTGGGTGTAGGTTGAAGCTATTGCTTCAATTTATCTGTTTAGGTTACATTCGCGGATGTTCTACGTATAGAGTAGGAATTTTGAATTCGATTTATTGCTCCGTGTAAAGTTTACAAAGATTTTAGATAATATATACAAATACAAAATGCTTTATTTCTCTCAGAAAGGTCTACCCGTATAAGTACTTACATCTCATGTATAATAACTTGTTCCATAATGAGAGGAGAGCTGGAGACTGTACTAGGTTGGGGACCTGTGTTACAGATCACCGGGCTCACTCCCTCTAGGTGTATTAAGAACGTAACATAGTAACTTATATTGGACAAACAAAGCGAAGTATTTGTACCCGCATCAAAGAACGTATAGCTGATGTCAAACACCGTCGCGTAAACAAGTCTGCAGTCTGCGAGCATGTCATGGATAAACCTACACATTCAATGAAGTTTAACAAACCCCAGGTCCTTGCAAAAGAAGTCCGTTATCTACCCAGGATGCTGCGAGAGGCCATTGAAATTAAAAAAACATCCTAATTTCAGCAGGGAAGATGGTTTCTCCGTACCACCAGTTTGGGATCCAGTATTTCCTCTAATGAAAAATCCCAAACAGACATAAGACTGCAGTACAAATTAATATGTTTTAGTTTATTCTAATTTCTATTAATAATTAATAATAAATTGAACTTAATAATAATTCATTCAATAAAATAATTTGTAAAACTTAATATAGCGTAAATTGGAATGTTTTCTTTGTAAAATTAAAAATAAGATATTTAATTAATAACTATTGTAACTATAGTGAAAAAATAGGGTGGTTTGCATTAATATTAGACAACTGGTTGAAGACTGTACTACCTCAGTCAACCGTGACCATGGGACCTGTAAAGGGCCCGAAACGTCGGTTTGTTTGAAAAAACAAATATACGCGATTTAAATCCGGAAAAATAGTTTCATTTCCTAAACGTAATAGTTTTAAAAAATACAATCACATTACTAAGTAAACCGTAGCATAAACAGATACAATAATAATAATAAATTCTTTATTTTCTCACCACAATACAATACAGTGTACATAATAAAAGTACAAACTAAACTACGTTAAACATATTGTGGGAGATGCCTAAACTAGGCTCACAGCCTGCATTTCAGGTTACCAGGTACAACCCTCGGAAACAATTTTCTATGGGTAACATTAGCGCAACAACTATATACGCTTTACTCAATGCGGCATGAGTGAGATTATTCACTATTTCAAAATGGACCGATTTAAGCGTTAAAAATATAGAATTTATGCATAAATGTCTACAA